TATCCCCGTAGCTTCCAGAGTTCCAGTGTGCCATAAGATACAGGCTCTGCATTGTGAAAACACAGATTTACTTTATCACAGTTCCTGAGGACACATGCAACTAAGAGGTGGCTTAGAGCCACCTCTGTGCCCTGTGCAATGTACATCCCCAACATGGCCAACATGCCTCCTCTGTGTCAGAGAGACCCACACTGCTGCCTACAGTAAGACACAGAGAGGATTCAAACCCCAAGAGCAGAAGCCACAGCCTTTTGTGGCAGGTTTGTGGTTTGTTTTTTTCATGAGGGGATACTTGCTGTATTGTCAGTTGAGAGTAACAGCAGCAAATGGGATAGGTAGATCAGTCTGCCTCTCTCTCAGAAGCCAGGAAACCATTGATATTCACCCAGATCAGCTGCTGGAAGGTTTTACACCAGCGGACACAAGCCACACCTATTCTGGAGATCCCCCAGGTCAAAATGCCTCTCAGGAAAAGCAGTCACACGGTCTCCCTGCAAAACTGTGAAGAGACTGGCAAACCGAAGAAGCCACGCCTAAGAAAGGGCTCAAGTGTAATCTGTTGAGGGAATCTGGGTGCCCTGATTTCACTACATGTCCAGCATCAGCCTCCCAGGCTATCCTCACACTGCTCTTACCACCATTCGTCACTCTTGGTGCTGACAGCTCTTTCAGAGGTTTGTTTACTGGACACTTCTGCTGGAAAATTCACTCAATTTCTGGACTATCCCAGCACTAGTTGTCAGCATTGCTGTCAGCACTGGAGCTTCCAGCCCTCCAGGGCCCCAGGATCTTCCAGGTGGTTGGACTCTTTCTCTCCAGCTACCCAGCTTGCTGTATGGATTTTTGTAGTTGATCCACCTTACCCTCTGTGTTGGAAAACACAGAGGTTGTGGCATCGAAGGTGTCTGTGGCATCAAAAACATTGTTCAACTAGATATTGGCCAAGGTACTGATATCCATTAACATCTCCACAGGAAAGATCTGGAGGACTTTTGAAAGAGAACATTTACACACTTCTCTACAGCTAATGCTGGCCAGATACAAGATGACCTTCTAATTCAGGTTTCTCTGGGATATTCAGCTATCTGCTGAGGATTGTCATTCAAAAGTCATTTGCCTTTTAACATTGTAAAGAAAGAGGCTGCAGATTTGTCCAAAGACTCCATAAATGTATACTTTCCTAAAGAAGTTCCCATGAGATTCTGGGAAGTAGGCTAGGCTTCCTGGAAAGCACCGCTAGACACTCCTCAGCTCCATATCAGAGACTTGTGGTGACTCAGACACTGCCCGTTCAGCAAATCCTCTAAAAAGGACCTTTTCAAAAGAGCATCCTGGTAAATATCAGGCAGCCAGCCTGTCTTCCTCCCCATAGCACTTCTACAGAGACACAGTTTTATTTTGCCCAGATCTACTGGGAGATATGAACTTCCTCTTCTCTAATCCTCTGCTCCTTACCCCTTTTTAGGATCTGTCACCTCAGATAAATGGGTCCCTCCTCCAAGACCTCTCTCTGACACGTGGCGTACTGTAGCCCTGGAAGGATAACATGCTGCTTCCAGGCATCCAGATGTCTGGAGGAACCGATTCCTCCTGTGAGAAAGGAAGCACATTTGGTACCCTTGCTGAACTTATTGAAGCTGAGCAATTTCATACACAGAATAGATCTCAGGTTGGCACCTTGGTAGAAAACATGATGGCCCTTTATGGAGGAAGAGTGTCTTGCATCCCTCTGCCTCAGCGCAGAAATAATGCATCTCCATACTATGCTTCACACACAAAGCCTGCCAAGTCGGGGGCACCAGTTCTTTTCTGGTTTGGGGTTCTGCTGCTTGACCCCTCCACAGCCACAAGGTGTTGACCCGGGAACCATCTGTCCTGAGCACCCAGAGAAGGGCAGCCCACTACTTCCCATTTGGAGCCGATCTTAGATCTCTTTTAGCTCCCCGAGCTCCCCACTCAGTGCCAGAAGTCTCACAGTTAATCCCAGTTTGATCTCTGGAAAACCCGGTTCCTGGTCTGGTGCCTGTCGAGTACCAACCTGCCCAGCAGCTTTTGCTCACCTTGCCAGACCTTCCTTTCTGTCTCTCCAGGAACGACTGCTTTCTATTTGCAGTCCCTTACCACAAAATTATTAGCTATCTCTTATTAGTAAGTAGCTTCTTTTTTGCTTATTGTGTTTACTTTAGCTCTGGGCAAACAGCAACCAGGATATTTTACATGAGGTTCTTCTGGTGAATGCTCTATCTCAGGAACACCCAGACCAGCTGATCTCAAGTTGTTCAGCTGATAACCCAGTCTTCGAGTCACAGTGCAACTCCTTAGGACAATTAAAGCATGCCTGTAAATTACAGAGTATCTCAAAAAGTCAGCACAAACTAGATTGTAACTAACTTCAGGTGTGATGCCACAAGGACCAAAACCTGAAAGTGTAATCACTCAGAGAAAAACATTCTATCACAGAAATCTGGAAACTCAATGGAAAATTCCTTTAGCAAGACTTACTCAATGATACTGCAGAATAGTGTTTTCTATTCCTATTTTTCTTGATAAGTGTAGTTTGCACCTGTAAGACATGCCAAGGGAGACAATAAAAGCAATGTACTAAGGTTGTGACTGCTGCGGGTAAGTCTGGAATCTAGCTGAAGCTAGCTAATGCCTAACACGAACAACGAAGTATTTAGTAGGCTGGACTTTTGTATCCCTGTGCTGGGCTACTCCCATTGTAGCTGGGCCCTCATTTCCCATGGCTCTGTGAGAGTCTCATAGGTCTCTGTCAGCCCCTCCACTCAGGGGACCCACACAGAAGTTCTGAGAAGATGCCCCGTGCTGATCTTCCTCCGGTCACTGTTATTTCTGCGGCCGGGTCCTATTCTGGGAGATGACGAAAAATGTTATTCAAGGGAGTCAGCATTTAAAATGGGTGATTAGAGAGAAACGTCACAGGTGTCTTTGCTAAAGATAGCCTGGTGCTGAGTAAAACAGTGCCTCCAAAACCTTCATTTCACAACATGCTCACTCAGTGTAATAACCCCTCATCCCCAAACACCCCCCAGTGCCAGACAGCTCCTGTCACTTTCCTGGGATCTCCATTGTGATCACATCTCAGGAGGCAGCAGCAGGATGGGAATACATCTCTCTCATTTTCTACTTCTTACAAGAAAGAAGCATTGCCTAGAGGATGGATTTGGTTAAGGGTAGTTTTGACGACTAGAGGGGCATAGTGCCAGGACATGAAATCTAAGAGTGCAGAGAGGGTCAGGGTGGAAAGAAAAAGCAGCAAACTTGGTGTGTTCCCCAAGCAAAGTCAAAGGAGGGGGAGCAGATGACACCAGGCTGTGGAGCCGTACGTGTCTCCCCGTCACGCTTCCATCTGCCTTCTCTCTCGTCTTCACCCACACACTCACACCATTCTCACACTGCTGATTCAGAGGAAAGAGAGGTTGATGCTTTCTGCTTGGACTGGGCACCACAAACTGTTTTTCTTGAATGGGAGGAAAAAACACGTCCTGTCAACCGTCACAAGTTCTCCCCCATCTTCTGTCCTCTCTTCCTCTCTCATGCGATGCCATGGGCTGTGTAACACAGAGGGCACAAAGGACCACTACAAAGCAGTCACCAGAGGACATCGAGGCATACAAGGTTGCATCAGGTTCCCATACACCAGATGCATCCCTCAAGAGGCTGAAGAGTCCTGTGTGATAAAAGAGACTATGAGCTGTCACCACAACAGGGAGCAGTTGAAGCGAGGCATACCACTTGCTCTCTTTTATCCTCCAGCTTCACCAGCCAGCTGAGGAAAACTAGAGGGCAAGCTAGGATCCTTCCACAGTGAAGAAGTGGCTACTCTGAGTCACCTCCCTTCCCTCACCCCCAAGGAAAAGCCCCAGCCCAGCAGGAGACGAGCAGCCAAGGGGCTTGGTGTCTGACACCTGGCATGAAGGGCTGATTAAGTCCGAAAGAGTCAGGAGCCAGTAGGTTGCTGGAAAATGTGAGCCACAATAGTGGGGGTTCCCTGAGGCACAAGGGGCCCCAGGATGAGGCATGTGGAGGGAAATGTGTTGCGCTATGCAAAGCTCAGCAGCTACATGGGAGCTAGGACGAGCCCACTCAGCACAGAAGCTTTGGTGGGTTTTCCCCAGCACTGCTGGAGGAGGAGGGTCCCTTCCTCACACCCCTTGAAGTACCACAGCACACACCCCCTCTTCACAGGACTGGTTGCTTCTCCTGAATGCTCCTCTTTGTCTCCACAGACCACCTCAGCTTTTTCCCACATTTTCACTGGAGTCTGTATTGGTGAGTCTCACGTCCCGTGGTTGGAGCTCACCACAGACCCTTCCCTCATGTTGCCTGTGAACTGGCCAATGAGGAATAGCCAAGAAAGCAGCAAGTTTGAAGGATTAAAGAAGGAAAAGAAGAACAAAAAATTAAAAAAAAAGAGAACATCATAAAAGAGACCAATATGTTCTCAAAAGTCCTGAAACAATTACAGAGAAGCTGTAAGAGGCGGAAAGATCAAACCAAAAAAGGCAAGAGATGAAAGAAAAACATGAAGGGCACTTACTGGGAAGTGTCTTCTACACTTTTTCCACTGTCTATGTAGAAGCGAAACTTGTAAGAAAAACAACAGCGACCCAAAGAGTTTCCACTAAAAGATGCTTAGAGCAGTGTCTCTGGTCCCTCCCTCCCCTCTCACCAGCTTCAGCTCTGCCTTCACGTGCCTCAGAATTATACTGGTTTCTTGGCCGTGACGCATCTTCTCAGTGATACGAGGAAATTAGCTGCCCACCTGCAATATAAGGGCATCTAGGAAAATACTTTGATCAGAGAGAGAGACGACATCTGAGCAAGCACGTCCAGCTGACCCTCCCCTTGGCTCTTCCATCCACTCTAACTTCTTCTTTATCCATGCCTCATTTTTGCTGATCTCTTGAAGCTCCAGACCTGATCAAGCACAGACCCAGGTGGAAAGACATAGCCCCTCATCTCTCCTGGATGCTGCCATGAGGCCGGTGATCCTGGTGCTATTCCTCGCCTTCATTCTGCTGGCTTTCAGTGGTAAGAGGGGCTGAACATATCAGGGTGGGCAGAGTTGTAAGCTGAGTCTGGGTGTTACTTGGTCCCTGACAGGTCCAGAAGGGAGAATTTGTGCCCTTCTAACTCTACTGAAGATGGTCAGATACTGCCCTCTGCTCCATACGTCTCACGCTTTGCTCAACCCTCCGTATCGTTACAGTTGGACACATCCTACGAGGAGTAACAGAGGGAGAAAGCAGGGAGCGGAAAGTGTGGGCCAGAGCAGGGAGTTCTGCTGTGCTGCCTTGCCGCATGAGCCCCAAGAAGTGGTGGAAGCAGCTGCCTGACAAGACAACTGTGCTGTGGAAGCGGCATGGGGGAAGGTACGCCAGGGCTGAGACAGGTCTGTGTCCTTATGACGGGACTGGGGAGGGTGGGAGACATTTTGAGCCCCTTTTCTCCTCCACATTCCCTCCTTCCTGCCTCATCACCCTTGATCTCGCCTTTGCCTCCGGTACGAGCCGCTCATTGTCCCACTTGCAGCACCCACCAGGAGCCATTCATGGTGCTGGAGGTGGGCTACTCGGGCCTCCGCAAGGTGGGACTGCCCATGAGGCCCCGGGTGTCAGTCCAGGACTCTGCCTTACGCAATGGAGACTTCTCTCTGCAAATCGACCCAGTCCGGAACGAGGATGCCGGCCTGTATGAGGCACAGGTGGTATACAACATGGAAGTCCAGAGCTGCCAGGTGGAGCTGGGTGTAATTACAGGTAGGAAAAGATGGAAATCCTAGAGAACATTGGTTTTAGGACCGGGAAAGTTGTAAGGGTGGGACGGGGTGAAGAGGTTGTGTTTGCCGAGGCAGGTTAGAGTATAGGCAAGAGCCTCCGAAGGTGCACCGCTTCTTGATGTCTGCTCTCAGCTCTGGAGACAGGGCTACGTGAGGGACAAAGCTAGGAGAGGAGGGGCACAAAGGGAAGCTCTGGTTGTCCCCCTGTGATCTTAGCTTCCCCTCAACCCATCACTTTCTTCTTCTTGCAGTAACTCTCAGTCCACCCAGCCCTGTCATAGAAAATGAGCCACTCTTGTTGAGCTGCAATTCCAGCCACCGGGCCAGCCTTGTGGAGACGTGCTGGTTCCACGATGGGCAGCTGGTCCCCACCTCCACAACCTTCTGCTCCTTGCATGGGGCAATCTCCGTTCTCCGGCCAGCCATGAGTGATGCAGGCTCCTGGCACTGCCAGCTCAGATACTCTGATAATGAGATCATTTCTGCTACGTACAACCTGCAAATTCTAGGTGAGCTCAGTCTCTGTGTTGCTACTTCAGCATCCCCAAGTTTCTCCCTTTGATGTGACTGACTAACCCCAGTGGTGCCAGCTTCCTTGCTCCCACCCTGTCCTCACTTTCCAGGCCAGCCACCTCCCTGCAGAGCTCTTTCCAGCCACCACCCTTCACTATCCTCTCTTTCTGGCTCAGGTTTCGATGGCCCAGCCAACCCTGTGGTCTATGCAGCAGCTGGGTCTGCAGCTGATCTACAGTGCACCCTGAGCTACCTTCCCAGTGCCCTTGGGATCAGCATGGTGAGAGCCCACTGGAGCCGCCTTGCAGGAGGACACTTGCAAGACCGGGGCATCTCCCAGAATATGAGCAGCAGAAGCTTCCCACTTCACTTCCCTGCGGTGGGGCCAGGTGATGCAGGGCAGTACCGCTGTGCTATCTCTGTTGGCAGCAAGACTATGAGCAGGGACGTGACCTTGGCAGTGGTTACAGGTGAGAGTAGAGACAGGGAAGTGCATCACCCCTGTGGGAACCCCCACTGCCTGCAAATAAACCTCCATGCATGCCAGTGCAGTGAATGTGGGCTCCTCCTGCTCACAGGTTCCCACCTCAGGGTGGGAAACAAGGCTTCTATTCAGGGCATTGCTCTGCACTGAACTCTGCTGAAAGCAGGGGTTTTCCTGGGTAACTTGATTGTCCTGAGAAGGACAAAATAAATTAGAGCAAGTAATAAAGTAGGGATGTTACAGAAGAAGGAGGAATGAGGAAGATATTTAGAACTGGCTGTAGTCTTTCTTGAGCATATCTTTTTTCATTTGCTGCAGTCACTCCAAGCATCCAAGGACCGGTTTCTGAGGGGTCTCGCTTGATACTCATCTGCAACCTCACACATCCCCGAGGACATGAACATTTCCAGTGGAAGCACCTCGGCTCACCCCCCACTAGCAGCAAGCTGGATGTGGCCACCTCCCGTAACCTGGAGAGACACAGATCCCAAATGGGCCGTACCTTGGAAATACCCCAAGTGTCACAGAAGGATATGGGCACGTGGGAATGCAGTGTATACGGCCCAGAAGGCAGACTGGGAGCAGCGGAGTACGAGCTGCAGATTACAGGTACGGATCTGTAACCAATCCCTTCTTCTCACCCTATTCAGTTCCCTGGTGCCCTTTCCTCTCTAAGCCTCACCCTATACTTCTTGCATTTGACTGCTTGAATTCCACCTTGTTGGCATCCTGTCTTAGCTCTCACCAGTTCCTCCTGTTGCTCCTTCCAGTTCCCTGTGCCCTTTCCCAGTTTGCCTGTCTTCATGCACTCCCAGCCTCACCCTAGTGCAAAATCAGCCTTCTCTGCCTTTCTAACTGTGGTGTCTCCACACAGGTGCCCAGGTCTCCAGTCCTCCCAATATCTTTAGTGGGCAGGTTACTTTTGGGCTCACACTGACCCTCTTCCTCCTGCTTACAGTCTGTGTACTGGCCCTGGCACTACAAAACAGGGTAAGTGTCCATATCTGTTAGTCCTCCTGTGCATCAGTCTTTATTTGTCCTTCCTCTGGGTAGCCTAGTGACGGCAGTGAAATGTCTCAGGGACACAGCAGCCAGAGCAACAATGGGGCTCAGGGAGCCTGTTGAGGGTGTCATGGTCATGTAGTGAAAGCCGTATCCTGGACATCGGCAGGTCTGAATAACTATGGCATTCATCTGGGGGCAGGTCAGACACTTCAGAAGAGGGGTAAAAACCCCCTAGGAGATGATCATAGCCCAGCCTTTAAAAGCTTCTTGTTCATTCAAGCCACACTGTAATAGAGAGGGGTTAATTTCCACACTTTTATTGGTGTCCTTATCTTGGAACACTTGGATATAACGGTGTCTCCTGTTACACACAAATGCCTGCTGGTTGGCAGATGCTGATCTCAATGCAGGCCTGTTGTTGCTGGCTCAGCTCTCACACCTCAGCTGTTTGCTTCCAGCAACTTACTGCCCTTCTTTTGCTCAGCTTGTTCCAGTATCTCGTCTTCTGAAAACTCTGTCTTACCTTTAGGATTCCAAAGACCAGGCCAGGACTGATCCCTCTCCAGCATGCCACTAGAAAAAAAGAGTACAAAGAAGTCAGATCGTTTCTCTGTAGTTTTCACACTGTTTCTCTACAAATAAATTACATGGCAAATTCTTCCTTCAGGATTTTCATTTGCTGAAAAGGGACAGCTTTCATGGGTAGCTGCAATGTAGTTGCCTTCTGCTTAGACTCTTGGAAACGGCCCACAGTGAAAATCCCCTTCCAGTGTAGAAGGGGCCAGGGGCTCAGAGTAATCTCAGATTGAGAGATCTTGCCCTAATAAAAGCCCTGGGTGCCTTGAACCTGTCCTGAGCTGAAGATGAGGGAAGTGACAGCATTGATGCAAATTCTTAGCAAATCCTGGTGGCTGGAGGGTGAAGACAGACGGCATCAGAACAGAAACAAGATGGCCACTTTAAAAAAAACACCGCAGGTAGTGCTAGAGGAATTTATGACTAGTTCTTCACCATCAGTTCTTAATCAGCACTGATGATAAAGGATAATCTGAGGCAGAAATCTACAGTTTCCAGGTGGCTCTCTAGACTGTGCTAGTAAGTCCAGGACAAGACAATCAGAACCACCCTTTCTGGCCCAAAACCCGTGACAGAAATCCCTTGGCAGTGTAACTATAAAGCCTCAACTAGCAAAAAATAGGACAACTGGGTGTCCAGCTGTTAGTTTAAGCAGCTCTCATCCCACCTCAAAGCCCTCATGGCCTTGCTTTGCTAGGTAAGCAAAGCTCCTCTGCTGCAGCACTGGTCTTCCATCCACAGACAGTCCTCATGACCTTCTCTGCTCAGTCTCCCTGGTGGGATCCTTTGCAAGAGTGCAGATGAGGTGCCTTAAGCACAGGTATTAGCTCTTCTCTTGTTCTCTCTCTGCTGGCATCCTCTGAGATTACATTCTCTCGTGTTGGTTGAATACTGGCTGCTCACCTGTATCCCTTGATGGTTATTGCCACACATCAGGAATTCCTCTTCTGATCCCCTGAGCCTACCAAGGCATGGTTGGTACTGTCACATTGCATTTACCTTGTCATTCAGTTACTGCTCCATTCTCCTAAAATACCTAGGTCTTGGATGACATTTTTATCCTCTCTTCCAAGTGAGGGTCCTCAACTTTATTGGCTAAATAACTCATTAGCACTTTCACACTCTATGCCATCAATTATTTGTCCCACAACTGAGTCCTGAAGACTTGTGCTTATCATTTCTCTACAGCCTGACAGAAACCTGCCAGCAAAATTCTGGTTCTTTCCCCTTAACTGAGATTGCACCCACCTAATATTGAATCTCTGCGTGTCACTGTATATGTTACCATTATCAGGAGTCCTGAGATATATCTCTTTCCATTGTCTAGAAAGTCACTTGTTAAAGCAAGATGTGAAAGTGGTTCTGTCTTTAATATCTTCTTATCTCATTTTGCAGGAACCTTCATGACATTAATTATTCTCTCTGAAAAGCTGTTGTAAAATCTGGCATACTACTGAACCTGTCAATGGCCTGCCCATTGCCTGGATCATTCTTTGCTGTCTTTTAAGCATGTCCTGTCTTTGTCAGTCCTTATGTCCATGACACCACAGAGGATAGTCTTGAGCCATCCTTCCCCACAGGAAACTGCATGTCTTGGAGAGTGGGACTGGGACTCCTATCTGGGTCTAGGAGGGAATGTGGTTGCAAGCAGTAGGACCATGTCTTCCATAGTGGGGAGAAACCCAAACTCGTGTCATTCAATCTCCCTCCCAAGTCTCATACTGTCCCTCTCCTCCCTTTCAGGCACAGTCTCCTATCTTCCCAGCGCTGGAAAGGATGGTTGCAGTCACTGTGCCAAGGAAGAAGGAGATGGAAGAAAACCAGAAAGAGAAAATCCAGCAAACTGAGTGCTGATGGGAGCAGGGACACCAAGCCCAGTCTGCACGGGCGGATGGGCACCATGCAGGCCTCTCAGGAGGGTCTAGGGCTGGTGTGAACATACCAAGGAGGCTGTGAGAGGTCTATGCCTGCAGAGGGACTGGAAGCTGTGTACCAGGGCAAGATAAGATTCACTGCTGCTGTCAGGTGGCAGGGAGCACAGATGCTTTGGAGCTATTGGGAGTATTAGAGCCAGTAGCTATTGCCTGCTTCGGTGCCACTCCTCTTCCCCATCTTTTGACCCTCCTTCATGGCCGTTCTCACAGCCTTTCACTGGTGGGACACTGAGATGCATGACATGGCTGGAACCCAGCCTCCCTGCAGCATGAAGGTGTTTTCTTCCCCCTCTCTGCCCACTTTCTTCTTCCTCTCCCCTCACTGCCCTGCTCTTGCACTCATCAGTGACAGAGGGGAACACAGAGAGGACTGCACATATTGCACATTTTGAGCATTTTATTTTATTAGAAACTCATTTTATAACCTAAAATAAACCCGTCTGACAAAAAAACCATGATGACCCCTGTGTGTTCTTGTGGAGGATCGAGAGTATTGACGGTGCCGTCTGTACAAATGCCTGTGTGAAGCAGCTTCTAAAGACTTTGCTGCCTTCTCTTTCTCTTTCAGTTCTGTTTTACTGAAGTTGCCTGTTCATTTCTGACATTTTCACAGTGGGAAAGAGGAAATTAAATGCCACTAGAGAAGAAAGAACCACATATTCATTCTCTCCTTTTTGCTGTGCTTCAGAGTCTTTTTTATTTTTCTGTCTCTCTGTCCCTGTTCATTCATTCATACATTCCTTTAGTCCTCACATTTTCCTGACAAAACTTTAGTTGATGTTAGGGCTCTCTCTTACTCTTCTCCTCCTAAAGTTGTACTTATGAATGTAAGCATGAGTCTGCGAAGTTCTATCTTTCAAGACCCTCAATGTGTTTAGGTTTCATGTAGTCAGCAAATGCTCTTCACCTCCTCTCCCAACAGACATGGAAGACCGTGGCACTGCTCTGGAGCAGTCGTTGCATGCCACTCCAGAAGAAAGCCTCACTAGTAAAGTCACACATGTAGTTTCTCTCATATGGGTCCCCAGACTGTGGCTGCTCAAGGAGGTGGTGGTACAAAAATTAAGCTGTCAATAATTAGGGTGGAAGATTCTCTTGACTTGAATTCTCTTGACCTGGCTTTACTACCAGGCCAGCTTTTCATTATTTCAGCAGGCATGTGAAGACGCCTTCTTGATGCGTGGCTCTCACCTTACCCTTCCAAGAGGTTCAGGCACGTTGGCAATGAATGTCCTCTGGGATCCTCAGACTGCAGGTAATGGAGCAGCACCCAGAAAGTCTCAACTAGCCTAATCTGGCGAGCATGTCCGGACTGCACGGCTCTTTAGCTACTCAGTTAGCTATGTACTGTACTGAAGTTGATACCCATTTCTCCTCTGAGTCCTAGAGAAATGCAGCAGAGCTACGAGGTGGACTTGTCTGTTTCAGCTGTTCCATGCAATTTCAGATAGGCACGAAAGTAGAAGCAACATAAGGCAGGACAGTCCAGTCTGATACCAGGCATTTTCCTAGGCAAATGATGATGTTTCAGTATTTTCATGTTGGAGTGATCTGTCTAGCTCAGTCTCCTCACTGTGCCAGATGCTTTGGAGACAGACAAAAGGTGGGCTAGCTGCGTGGGGCTAGGGGACAATCCAATATTCAGCAGGCCCACATCAGTGCCAGACAGTGGTTTGTTCCTTCTTCTCATACACAACAGGATGCTCTCTCCTACCGTAGGTACCAGTTTTAGCATTGCCTGTTATCAGCCTGGATGTTCTCATTGCTTAGACGTGTGCCTGATGTCTTTATGCCTCACTTCGTTTTCTTGTACTCTGACTTCCTCTGGTAATCAGTCCTCAGGTCTGCTTATCCACTGTGTGAAAATGGTTCTCTTGATCAGTTTTGAATTCAAAGCTTTCTGCTTTCATCATCTGTTTTTTTATTTCTGTCACAAAGGCTGGCAGAAGAGGGACTCCCAATCTATCATCTCTTGACTGGTCATTATTCTACCACCTGTCATCACAACTCTTTTTTGTTATTTCCCCATTCCCTCTTGACTCATTTTCTTTCAGGTACAAATCCCAGATTTTTGTGGACTTCCTCCCTGACAGTTTGCTCAGGCCCATCTCTATGCACGGTCAGTCTCCTCAGATCCTTTGTTCTGGAAGAGGAGGCAGAAGCCCAATGGAGGAGCAGTTCTGGCTTACATGGAAGCACATGTCTTTCCCCCATCATTTCCATCCTGCCCTTCATGGCTCCTGAAGTCTTGTCTGCTCTTCTGACTGTAGTTGTCTACTGAACAACACTAAGCTTGTACCAAGCTGTTCAGTCTGTCCTCAGTGAAACATCTGTTGTGACGCCCAGGGCTCTTCCCTGATGTGGTACTGTTAGAGTAAACCAAAGCCTGGATGTATTTATGCTGTTTACATCTTCCCTCCAGCTACATGTCTTTGGGAACGGTGACGCTGAATTTAATTTGCCTTCCCACGGCTGATGAGCACAGCTTTCCTACGTGTCTCAGCATTCTCTTGTCTCCTGGCAAATTTAAATAGCTTCATGCCATCTACATACTTGGCCTTCTTGCTGTTTACCTCCTTGAGCGCTAGTAACTCTTGTCTTCATTCAGATACTTTTGGGCCTCACTACTGCCTCTGATGACAACTGGCAGATTAATCCTCCTCCTCACTCCCCAACCCCAGGGCGAATCTCAGGCACACAGCAGAGCTCTCCCACTCACCCCTGTGCAGGGTCAACCCCTTGGCCTGGTTAGCCCCGCATCTCCAAGGGGACAGGGACGAGGTGCAAGCTGTTCAAGATGTAAAATGCAAGCTGATCACTGGATTATTTACTGTAACACAGTTACTCTTGCTTCACAGATCTTCACCAAGAACTGATGATACTTGGAGCCAGTTTGACCAGAGTCATCCATGCACTTGCGCACGGTTACACTGCAAGACCTGAGTATGCAGTAGGCACCTCCACAAACATTATAATACCTGTAGGGTATTATAATATAATAATATAAGTATTTCTGAAAATACTTTCTCTGTAATAGAGAGGACAATGGTGGCTGGGTTGTATGATCTGTGACACCATCTACAAAGTCTGCAAGGCCTCAGACATAGTTGTGTATTAATACAAGTACAAATTCCACCAGCTCTAGAGTTCTGAGAACGATATCTGAGGCGTCACAGATATTGCAGTCTTGCTTTTGTAACCAGCAGAGCACTTCGCACAGATCATAGAATCATAGAATGGCCTAGGCTGGAAGGGACCTTAGAGATCATCTAGGCCAACCTCCCTGACATGGACAGGGACACCTCTCAACTCGATCATGATACTCAAGGCTCCGTCCAACTTGGCCTTGAACACCTCCAGGGAGGGGGCAGCCACAACATCTCTGGGCAATTTATTCCAAAGTCTTGCCACCCTCGTACTGAAGAATTTCTTCCTAAGATCTAATCTAAATCTATCCTCCTTCAACTTAAACCCATTTCCCCCTGTCCTACCAGTGAATACTCTTGTAAATAGTCCCTCCCCAGCCTTCCCGTAGGTTCCCTTCAGGTATTAGAAGGCAGCTATTAGGTCCCTCGGAAGACTTCTCTTTTCAAGACTGAAAATCCCAGCTCCCGCAGCCTGTCCTCATAGCAGAGGTGCTCCAGCCCCTGGATCATCTTTATGGCCCTCCTCTGAACACACTCCAACAGATCTATGTGCCTATGAGTTTTACTGACAAAACACAGGCACCAATTAAAGTGATAAATGTGGCCAGTGAGCTCCTTTGACAGACCTCAAGGAAAAATAAATGAAAGCCAGCCACCACCAATACAGAAATAACAGGAAGCTTTACCTCCCAAAAGCTGCAGGAGAAAGAATGGATCAGTGCAACACTAGGAAGTATGAAAATATTTCTGAATAAACATGGCACAAGGCAAATCAATAGAGTTCAAGTGGAAGGACCAAGAGTCCACAATTAAGTGAACAAGTCTGGGAATCCCAGGTGGATTCACTAAGTAAGAACAGCAAATAAAGTGAAGGGAAGAGACCAGATGTTCTTCCACAAGGATACAGCTACAGGTGCAAAGATCAGATAAATATTTCCAATGCACCAGAAGCATAAAGTCTGAGAAAAAAAAACCAGGAAATCCAGTGGATTCTCTTTTTGCAGACGGGAACAGCTAAGGAAGGCAAAGAAAGTGTTATGCATGCAAATTCCTTTGCATATGACTCCTCCAAAAGGAATGGGAAGTGATTCTTTAATCCCAAATCAATCTTTTTAATATGAAAGACCAGCACTATCAGAAAACAAAAAAATCATAACTAGGTCCAGATGTTCTGCATCAAGACTTCTGATGGAATTCAAGTGAGAGGCTAAGTAGGTGTTAGGAAACAGCGTAATCTGCCAAAGAAGCAACTAGAAACAACACATGTGGTCTTGGTAGATTCTGTGCAACCTTTTGAAAATAATAAAAAATTAGAACCAGATCTTAGGACACTAAGGCACCCTGAGTTTTATATCTGCTTGGGAAATTGGTGAGAACAATATCAGCAGCAATTCTACAAAAATACCAAACAAACATGCCTTACTGCTCTGCTCAGATTTCTTCAACAATTTGATGCCGCAATGAACAAGCCCAAAAGCATTTGAGGTTCTTCATTTTGCCTTCCAGAGGTTCCCTTAAACCACACTTCTTATAGAAATGCTGTTGTTGTAGGTACTGCACCTTGGGTCACCTACTGAGATCCAAGGCATCTGAGAAAGTCATTACCATAGAATAATAAAATGCATTGGGCTGCAAGGGACATTTAAAGGCCATCTAGTCCAACCTGCCTGCAGTGAGCAGGGACATCTTTAACTGGATCAGGTTGCCCAGAGCCCCATCCAGCCTGACCTCGAATGTTTCCAGAGATGGGGCCTCCTCCACCTCCCTGGGCAAC